GTTGAGGTCTTTTACCAAGCCTTCGAGTTGGATGCTTGTGCTTAAGGCCCGGGCCACAGAAGCACTGTTGGCCGCCACCAGATCCTCGACAATGCAGGAGGCGGTGTGGTCTCCATTCCTCGATCCAATACTTATTATGGATCACCGCCACCACTGCAGTCTCTGGAGGAAGAGCCTCCAGCACTTACTTCACTGGCTCCTCGAAATTGACGTGCAAGAAGTCCACCTCTTTTGAAGGACGGGCCTTTTTACTCTTTTGCTACCTCGGCGCTTGAGCAATGAGCACAACGGCAACCGACGACGTAGCCGGAGGCAAGAGAAGCCTCTGAAGATGCAGGCCTCTTCTCCGTGATGACCACCCCGGTTGGAATTGTGGTTTGCCTCAAAGTCAGAGGCAGCCTCGCCACAGTTGGGCGCTTCGAGGCGGCGGCAGGCCTCCTTCCTTTCTACAGCAGATTGGCGTCCGGGTCCTCCGCCACCTCCTCCTCGGTGGGAGGCTGAAGTCTCTTGCTGGCCTCCACCAGATCCTCCATCTGCTTTTTGTATGCAGACGGGGAGGTCTTCAAGACTCTCGCCTTGCCCATCATCCTCTGGATGGTCTTAAAGTCTGGCCTCAGAGGTAGCTTTTTATTAAAGTTATCTGCAAAGGGATAGGCAAATTAGTCCAAGTGTAAAGGGTTCGGAAAGTACTGAAGGAATTCGCTTCAAGAAATTTACCTTAGGAGGCCATCAAATCGTGCGTCATGAAGTGAATGTTTTTCCTTTTCAGCTGGTGGCATGACCTCTTCTTCGAAGGCAGTTGATAAATAATTCAGATGATGTCGAAGTCGTCGGTGGAAAGCTCGCACCGAGGAAGAGAACCTTCAAAAAACAAACAGAACAGTTAATAACCGAACCGAAGAAGAATAAACAAGATACACAAAGCCACATAACTCACTAAGTATTGAATACTTTGTGGGGACCATAAGAGGTGCCAAGGGTTCCCCCTCCACCGTGTCCCATCTCCCGACAGCCCAACACCACGAGCTCTTCCACTCCTTGATGGAACTCGATAGATCAAGCACGAATGGAGTGTGGGAACCCCATGAGGTTAAGTAGTACCAGCCCCTCGTCTTATCCCCCCCAGTCACTACCTTAGGGATGTAGAGGGTGTGGAATATAGAAAAAGGCATCTCCACCCCAAGCGACGTCTCCTTCCACAACATCCAGGAGCCCACCATTTGGCTCCGGGAGTTCGGGTTTAACTGGGTTGGAACTAAGCTGTATGACCTAATTACCATACGAAAAAAAGGGTGGGTTGGGAGCCTAATGCCAGCCCTAAGGATCGTCTCGCTAATGGCCACACACCCCGACTTAGGGTAACAGGCCCGCTCATCAGGTTCTGGTAGGATCAGATCTACACTATTTGAGATCCTATATTCTGCCCTAAGTCTCTCCAGGTCGGCACCCTTTAGCTTAGAGGGGTAATTCGATGCCCCCAATGCACAGATGTGTCAACTGGGCTATCTGTCCTCTTCCATAGGTTCTCCCCCCTAATAATCGCCTCGGCTATCTCAGAGGAGGTCACCAAAATTGGCTCATCCATCATCACTATTTCCAACCCCCTACCGAACTACCACTATCATCAGAAGCCATTTTCAGAAAGAAAAAGTTTCAAATACTTACTGAAACTTTCGAAATGGAATGTACCGCAGTCGAAAACGATCAAGAAATAACGTGAGTCACTGGAAACTGGGATTTCTCGTCGAAAATTGCTTGAAGATCGCCAAAAAACGCAAAGATTTTTAGAGTGTATGGGGATTTTGATTTCGCAAAAGTGAAAAGCTCCAAAAACGCTCAAGTCCGCCTTTTATAGAGCGTCCCAGCTCATCTGCACCGTTGAATTCAAATGCAATCAATCTAGGTCGTCCATCGCATCATCAATCCTGGCCATTGAAACGAAACGCCAGATTAGATCTACGCCTAAGATCTAGCTGTGACCTTCACGCTCACGCGAAACGCGTAACCTTGATCAACATCAGCAGTTTACAATAAGTAGCCGCAGTAGACTTTTCTAGGAATGGGCATTGCGCCCAACTATTGTCTTGAAAATACGCGACAATTATTAAATTATTTAAAGTCAGGGATGCCCGCCTCAGATTGAGCTCCATACTTAGCTTTACCAAGCTTAAACGCACCTGACACGAAGTCCCTTGTGGGCCATCGCCTCGGTAGCTGCGTTCTCTCTTAACAATAACAAAGCTTTAGCCATCTCCCAACACGTCGTCCCTTGTGAGTCATCGCACCGGTGGCAGGTGAGCTCCTCACTTAGCTTTACTAAGCTTAGATGCACCTGACGCGAAGTTCCTTGTGGGTCATCGCCTCGGTAGCTGCGTTTCCTCTTAAGCTTTACAAAACTTTAGCCATCTCCCAATGCGTCGTCCTATGTGGGTCAACACATCGGTGGCAGATGAGTTCTTCACTCAGCTTTACTAAACTTAGACATACCTGGCACGAAGTCCCCTGTGAGTCATCGCCTCGGTTGATGCGTTTCCTCCTAAGCTTTAGTCATCTCCCAATGCGTCGTCCCTTGTGGGTCAACGTACCGGTGGCAAATGAGCTCTTCGCTCAACTTTACTAAGCTTAGATCACCTGACGCGAAGTCCCCTGTGGGTCATCGCCTCGGTAGTTGTGTTTCCTTCTAAGTTTTACAAAACTTTAACCATCTCCCAACACGTCGTCCCCTGTGGGTCAACGCACCGGTGATAGATGAGCTCTTCACACAACTTTACAAAGTTTAGCCGCATCTGATGCGGAGCCCCCTATGGGTTATCCCCTCGAAAGTTGCGTTACAAAGCTTTATCCATCTCCTAACGTATTGTCCAGTTGGCAGTACATCGACCTCGGATAAGTTCTTTCCTTACACAATATTAAATCTTTAGCGCGTCTCTGTGGTCAAAGCTTTGGTGAACATAAAAAATCGACCCATAAGCCCTTACAAATCGCGGTCCCCATCTTAAGGTGGACATACCCGATCGGGAAAACAAGTCAACCCATTATATAAATATTCATATCTGAACTCGGGGGGACCACTGTTACGCCCCTATCTGAAACACTTCAAAAAGTCTACCACCATGTCGCATGAGATGTGCAATACCCATCTGAAGTGGTTTCGAAGTGGAGCCACCATCTGCTAACACTGAAACACTTCGAAAAGTCTACCACTGCGTCGCACGAGGTGTGCAATACCCATCCGAAGTGGTTCCAAAGTGGAGCCACCATCCGCTAACACTGCAAGACGCAGATAATCTACTGAACTGACTGAGGCGCCCTAGCCCACTGAATTCGAAGCGCAACTTAAGCCGAAGTTCTTTGTTGGAGGATCCGTAGTCAATTTCAGAAAGAGATCTATGTCAAGATCCTTTCTACCCCTAAGATTCAATTGATTTGACGTCTCCATGAGCCTAGTTGATGTGACGTATCAACTTTATGTCAACTCAACTCGGGAGAAGTAATTACCCGCCCACTCTATAGATGCGATTGATTGACGCCTATGAGCAGATGTCTCACACCGTCAGATGCGTACACGTGTTCCACATCCAACGATTCTCCTCATCTATAAATACCCAAGGTTTGACAAGAGGCAAAGATAATGAAATTCTTACAACATAGCTTTCCATAACAAGCAAACATATATTCTCATCCCCTTTATTTAGCACAACCTGGGTATTGTTCTGACCACCTGAGACTAATTTGACCGTCGGAATGTATGTGGCTGCCACCACCCCGTTGGTTCTGGCCGTGTGTATTTGACTGTGCGTTGACTGTGCGCAAGGAAGAATACGTGGAGTAGCTATCGGTTGGCCACGTGGAGGGTCCAATTTGCGAGGTCAACAGAAACCTTGGACGAATTAGATGTTGGAACATGGAAGATATATGTGGTAGATTAAGAAGATCTGAAGCTAATGGAAGTGAAGATTCAGATGATGAGAACAGAGGAACATGAAAGTGAATTAAATGCATAGTATGAAGAAAATCATTTATATTGATGGTGAAGATTGAGATGCTTCTGAGCTTGATGGTGGATGGGATTATGATGATACTAGAAATGTGAATCATAGGAGTGAGAGTGAAGACCCCGAGGAAGCTTTTGATAAATTTGCTGCAAGTAAAACAAAGAGAGGGCAGTAGAATAAGATCGGTAGAACCAACTTTAAGAGAAATGAAGTTAAATCGATTAGTAGATTCTCTAAACAGGATTCCATTGCAAAAGATTCGTTAAGTGCAGATGATGGAGTAGGACACGGCCCAAGAAATTCCAGAGGCCCCATTAGTCATTACAGGAAAAATAGTGATGAGAGAGACCGTGATGGGATGAAGAGAGATCCGGGAAGGAACAAGGTTCGATCGGACGTACTGCTAAGGTGTTAGATGTCTGAAGACTCATTTAGTAAGACATTGCAAAATGGGAATGAGATTCCACATCATGAGATGAATCTCATAAAAATGGGAAGCAATGGTGTAAGCAAGCAGACACTGAAGGAATCAACTATTTGATACTAGGAAGCACTGACATGTTCCTGACATGTTGATTATATATACCGTGGTACACTTGAGAGGGTAGCATAGAAAACAATCTATGAAGTGATTCACTTCAGAAACTAATCCTTGACCAAATGGATATAAAGATGTTATTCAGCTAATTTGTTTTAGAATAGTGCTACTTGAACAGACTCAATGATATGCTACTTTTTCACAGACTGATTTTACAATTTTTTGTGTAACTGTTGAAATTTTCCGAGTGTATCCGTGTATAAAAATTTATCATTGAATCGATATTGTAACAGAAATGTTTATTTTAATTTAGATCAATGGTGGTGTTGTTATAGGCTCTCTTTATGCTATGATGATGGCAATGATGCCTGGAGTTACCATTCAAACCGTCATGTCACATGACAGTTGCCTTTGTAGATGGTATTTTCTCCCCCTGGTTACAAGTGCTCAATATCTGCAATATCAGCTTAACTATGCAATTTGAATACAGGCAAATGTTTGGTGATAACGCACTTGTGGTGCTGAACATAGAGATGGTCGAAGTGCCAGACATGCGGAAAATGCGGGTTTTGTATTTTAATCGGTTAAGATTATGCTGTCTTTTCTACTAGTAGTTGACATTGAAACTTTATGATCAAAGCTTAAGTGAACGAGATGAAGAACTCCTTCATTAAATTTGACTCTTTTTGCGAGAGTTATCAAAATTAGACATTTTTCAATTGAAATTACCCTTCAAAAATTAATTTACTTGCTAACCGTATACAAGTTCGGTAGCGAATAACTGCTAAAATCCACACTTCTCGAACCACAGGTGCCACACCTACAATAATGGCGTCGACGCCGCTGCCTCTGGCCCGTACATCTCTCCTCGTCCGCCGCTTCAAAGCCATGTACATCCTCCAGACGCCGCCGTTTCGCACCCATTCCTTCCAATTAAACCGCTCAAAACCCTTCTCTGCACGGCTGCTCTCCACCACCTCCACCCCGTTCCCACTCCAATACGAAATGATTATTTCCCGCCCGTCCAGTCCCCCTCCTCGACCCTCTTCCCCCAGCCGCCGTCTACCTGCCATCCCTAATTCTAGACCCGCCGACTCAGAACCCGATCCAGAGCTTGGTTTCGAAGACTGGGCTGATAAAAAGTTATCCAACAAGAATAAAAGCGATGATGATACAGAAACGGATATAGTCATGGACAAGGCGAAGAGAAAATATTACAATAAGAGGAGAAAAAGAATGTATGGAGAATCAGAATCGGATGAGGAAAGTGGTGGCAGGGGGAAGGAAGGGGATTATGTGGAATTAAAGCAAGAGATAGTGGAGCTACGCACATTGCACAAAAAAGAGGAAGAGCTGTATTTTCACGATGCATTTGCGTACCCATGGGAGAAAGATAAGCATTACAAGATGGTTTATCAGCTGGAGAAGAAATATTTCCCTGATCAGTGTTTCGATAAGGCTTTTCTGGAACCGGGCCAGTCAAATGGTAATGGTAATGTGAAGAAGGAAAAGAAGGGAATGGAGACTAAAGAAGTGAAAGTTAAAGATGATAAAGGGCTGATGTTCTTCGAGGGGAGTGAGGGTGAGAGAGAAGGGAAGAATTCGAAAGTGTGTGATGTTACAGAGAAGAAAGTTGAGGATTTCTTCAAGTGTTTGAAGAAAGTCCCCAATGCGAGTAATGGTGATGCCACTGTTGTGGAGCCCTTTTTTTCAACGAGAAGTGTTGGGCTTCCGCCTAAATGGGATGGTCCCAATGGGACTGTAGTTTTGGTGAACAAACCAAAAGGTATTCTTATTTACAGATATTGGGAGTGCTTAAGAGTTTTGATACTAAGATCTTTCGTAATTTTTCTTGTATTAATCTTGTATTGAAGCTGCCAAGTTGACATTTAGAGGTTAAGAATCCAGATAGGTATTGAACTCTTGCAGTGTGTGCTAATTAAATGCAGAAGCAAAGAGAAACTCCTTTGCTCTCTGGTTTTTGGAGTTACTATGAAGTGGATGAATTGTTTCATAAACACTACAAGTTCAATCTATTAAACAAATTAGTTCCAGGCTAATAGCCAGTTTGAACAGGCTGGACTTCATTTACAGTTTGCGGGAAGCTGCGACGCCTGGTCAATGTGAAAAAGGTGCTTCTTTACTATTTGACCTGGACTTTTGACACAATACATTTAATTGGATATTCCTCCCACAAATTTCCCTTACGCAGGTGGGGCATGCTGGGACTCTAGATCCTATGGCAACTGGTTTATTGATCGTATGCATTGGTAAAGCTACCAAGCTGGTTGAAAGGTGAATTGCAATTTATATTCCAAATTTGAATGGCGTGTGGGAACACATTTGATTACTAATTGATATCATTTTCAATTTTCTGTTCCTTGGTCATCTAAGTTATGAGTATTTTCTAGATAAGAGATCGATTTTTATTTTACGATTTTACACACTTGGACTCTCTTTAAAGATTTCAATATTTTCTTGTAGATATCAAGGTATGATAAAGGGTTACAGTGGAATCTTTCGTTTAGGAGAAGCAACCTCCACCTGGGATGCTGATTCACCGGTGTGTTTGTTTTGTTGAGAATAAATTCTGCCTTGTGTCTTACATTCCTAAAGTTCTTAATTCATGTTGCTTATTTTCCCCATAATTAAGAAAAATGAACTACCGGATTGCACATGTATATATTTTGAACTTATTGCATTTCATCAGCCTGCTT